TGCTCTTCCGATCTCCCCAAAACCCCAAAACCCCATAAGATTAACTTGGGAAGTAAATAATGAATAGCAAATTTATAAATTATTATATTGTTATTTAAATTTAGTAATATCATAGAAATATGAAATCAGCCAAAGAGCATCTTATCATGCTTAGGTAATGAATGCCAGTTTATAAAATTTATAGTAATAAAGATTAGCTAACGTATGGATTGTCATTCTTATTTTGGGGCATCATAGCGTTTGTAGAGATTGGAGCTTATGAGGATACTATTTCGCTCACAATAACTCAATTCCTTATCACCTCTTTATTGACTATACTAGCCATTGGATCCCAGTAGGAAAAATTCAAGCCAGAGACACTAATCAAGTTTGATGCACTTCTTGTAAGTTATATATAAAGTTGATGAATTAATTTATTAGAATGATTGGAGATACGCCGCATTGACTGGTGTTGAATTTCTAAAATTTTGGGTTTAACTTTAGACATTAAAAGACACGAATAGTTTAGCATCGTATTTTAAAATTGCAATAATATCATTTATATAGATGGTTCTTCCTAACTTAAGCAGATGCATTTATCATTTACATTTATAACTTTGCTCTAAGTTATTAATAAGAGGATGACAAGTAATCTGTTGAGATATCACAATAAAAATTCGTTGGGTTGTCATTGTTTATCATTGGATACTTCCTTGATTTGATTTTCGGAGGAGCCCTCAGATTTACGTCCCTCTGCCTTGTTCTCTATGGATTATCTATTGCTGAAACCCTAATTCTGAAGTATCAAAGACCTGAGGATAAATTGCAAAAGCAAGCCTCATTTAATTTTGAGCATAATGAAACTAAACTGATGTTTGCAAAGGCTAAATTCATGTTTTCAAGTGTAGTTGGAGTGTTGTATACTTTTCTCGAAGGACTACTCTTCTTAATCAGAACTCCTGTTTTAGTTTAGACTGAAGCATCAAATCCAAGCAAGTCCTTCATTCTTTTCATGGTACTTGCAATTTTCACTCTCTTGAGAGACAGATTTGAAAAGTACATTAACAATAAGACATAACAAAATAGCAATCTTTTGGGCAGATCTCTATTCTTGCCATTAGTCTTTTTATGCTTCTCAGTATTTATGTTGAACAAACTGCCAGCATTATAATTCTTCTTGCACTTAATATTTTTAGTAAGCTATGCCTATTTCTTCATGGAAGACTTCAAACAAATGCTTGGACTTGACTAGCAACTGTCAGTATCATCTTAATTTAACAAGGATAGTTTGATATATGATTTTGTTATGACTTGCTACGAAAATAATGATTCAAGAAAAATTGCCACATTTTTCTTGATTAACCTACTATTCATGTTTGTTGAATTGATCTACGGATACATGTCTAATAGTCTTGGACTTATTACTGATTCTTTCCATATGCTATTTGATTGCATGGCTTTGTTCATTGGATTGTGTGCTTCTTATATATCAAAGATGGGAGTAGACAACAAATATACTTATGGCTATGGCAGAGTAGAAACTCTGAGTGGACTTTTCAATGGAATTTTCTTAGTATTCATTGCTTTTAACGTGTTTTGCGAAAGTATTGAGAGAATTTACGAGCCTCAAATGATAGAAACTGATGGGTTATTAACTGTTTCAACTCTCGGTTTTTGTGTTAACCTCATCGGACTATTCTTTTTCCATGATCACCATGACCATGGACATGATCATGCTGGCCATAGTCACGATCATGAAAATGAAAATATGTATGGAGTATTTTTACATGTTTTGGCAGATACTCTAGGAAGTGTAGGTGTTATTTTTTCAAGCATACTTGTCAAGTACTATAATATGTATGTTGCAGATCCAATTTGTTCTTTCATTATTTCTTTGATGATTCTTGCTAGTGGAGTACCTTTTATTTAAATGACAGCTAGCAATTTGATTTTAAAAACTCCTGCAGTTATCAAAAAGAAGAAGGTGAGAGTTGAAGAAACTATTATAAAAATTGAGGGAGTTAAGGAAATTAAAGAGCTTTTGATATGGGAAATGGCAAAAAAGAAATATGTTGCAACTGTAGATCTGTTAGTAAGTCAAAATGCAAACAGATCTATGATTCATGACGAAGTATCAACAGTGCTTAGAGGAATTAAATGCAAGAATATCACAGTTCAAATGAGTGGACCAATAGTTCCTGTGATCGATACTTTTATAACAGATCATAAACATTCAACACAAAAAATCCTTACAAATACAGAGGAAGACCTTTACTAAGATGTCGTTCTTAATTAGGACATAAACTATGATCATAATCACGGAAGTAATTCAGAATAGCATAAAATTGAGCAAGATTTAGTCGTAAACACTGGCACAACACCAGATAAGAAAACGAAGAAAAAAGCTCACAATCACACTGAAGAACGCAAACCTGAAGTAGAAGAGAATCTTGTGGCCACAGTAAGTGAGTAGCTAGGTCTTAATAAGAGTAAAACACATAAAGACTGATTGAAGACTACAGCAGTACTACTAATTGATAAATTTATCTAATATTAATATTCAATCTCATTCTAATGATAATGTGCTACGGGGTTTTGGGGTTTTGGGGTTTTGGGGGATCGGAAGAGCACACG